TTTGCCAAAGATTCCACCCTAGTTCTGGCAGACTACTGAATGAGATCCACCCACCTAAGGAGTGCTCTTGCCTGTGAAAGTATCCAGTACTGAGACTTGAAAGTATGTATGCAACATTAAAATACACTCAAAAAACCAAACATACATTTAAGTGGTAAATGTACAATTTTTAAAGAAGATGTGTTTTGTCATGCAAATTACATCATGCTTGTTATGCTCCAAACAAGCCGAACATACTCTCACTTCAGGCCTTGCTTGACCCCCTTCTGTATGCAAACCTCCAGTTCCCCAAGGTAGGTACTTCTGTGTTTCCCTCACTCATTTTAACTTAACATAAAGCATGGTGCTTCAATTTGTTACTACATATGAAAAGGATAGGTATAGTGTATAACAATGTTTGTACAGATTTTCTAATTGCTAACCTCAGATAATGTTAAAAAGTACACCTGAATGTATCTAATACATGAAGAAAATATAAAGGTATATCAAACAAAGGCATAATTTTTGCTTAAACTACTATTTATGATGAAAAAAAAAAAAAGACCTTACTTTTACATCCAAAGTGTGTTGCAGTTTTAGGCGCACAGATTCTTGTTCCTGACGTTGTATTATGTCTTGGCATTCTGCAAACTGCAAAGATGCCTACAATCAAGCAACCACATATGGTTTGTCCTCCATTCTTTATGCAGTTTTATTTTATTAACCTATAAATGCAGTCACAATCTCTTCAAGGAAAGATCCCCCATTCTTGGCACACATTTATCTATTGATTTATCTGTTTTATTCGGAAACAAAGAGTAATTGGAGGCCATGTCTTTATCCTCTGCATCCCCAGCATCTACATGGCATTTAGTATGTGGAGAGCACTCAAAAGAATGAAAAATTAAGGATGAAATGAGCAAACAGTTTCAGCAATGTAAACACATCTGCATAAAGATAACCATAACTCAAACTCAAGTCAGTATATCATGTTCTAAGATCTAAGTTTGCATAGGTGGAATCACAGATTGTTTTCTGTCACTATGAAGGCTCTGATTTTTCAAGAATAAAGGACTAGTTCTGGTATATTTTTAGGCTTCCAGAGTTTTCAGGCGACACAAAAAGAGATTTACTCCTCTACAGCTAATGGCAATGACAAAAATATCCTTCTCATGATTTAAGCTGTGTTTTCTGCCTGTACTTTCTGGACCCCACAAAGTGCCAGACATTAGCATCACTTTATCTTTTCATTGATAGTATTAATAGACTGTATTCTACCTAGCATTCAAGTCCTTCTTGATGGTAAGTTAGATTGGTGGCATTTTTAATTATTCAGACCATGAAGGATACCAGGAGCATATGACTTCTTATATCTCACTGTTCTTGTGACTGTGTTAGCCTGAAAAAAGACAATTTTGTAAAAAGTATGCATCGAGACTGTGTTTTTAAAGCTCAGCCTTCTCTATAAGATACAGTTTTTCCTTGGAGGACGTGACTGGGATACAATCCAATTTGACAGATTTGGCCCCTATTAACATGGGGCTTTCATCCAGAATGATTCTCCTTAGTTAATAACTATTTAGTTGGTAACTACTTAACATATTTAGCTAATAACCACCTTATCAAGAGCAACTTCCATGTTAGCAACCTTCTCTTTCAAACGGCGTTCCTGAGATTTCAGGACTTCTAGCTCTCCAGCCATCTTGTTTTTCTCTGTTACAACAGTACTCAATTCCTGGCTTAATTTTGTCTTCTCTTCTTTTAGAAAATGCTTTTCCTACAATTATAGAGAAGCAAATATCAGAAATAATATGCTGATGTAGATGCTGAGATGTGATGGAAATATAAAACTACTACATAAATATGTGAACTATAGTTTAATTCATATGCCATTTAATTGCTTCTGAGTTGAAGTTGGGAGCTGCTAGAACTGTTACCATGTACTATCTCATTTTAATCTGTACTAGTATTATTACTTCTTTCTAAGCTTAATAGATCTTTGAAAAAAAACCTATAAAATATGTAATAATTAGGTTGTAGTAAAAAGAGACAGTGTTATGGTGAACTGAGATTGGGTGACCATATACCAAATCTATTGAAACTTGTTTAAATGACACAAGAGATTTAAAGAAGATGCATTTATTTAAAAGCTTTGTGGGCTTTCTATTTTGTTTCCAGGATGAATATTCATGTCACAAATGCGTACTATAGACCCTTTGTCCTAAAAAGAAATAGGACTCACAGTTCCCACCCTCAAAGTCACTATGGTCCAGTGATGAGAATGAACTTGCTGATAAACTCATGAAGAATCTCTGGTGTTCATTAATTCAATAAATTTCATTAATACAAGTTCATTCCTTTAAAAAAACATCATGAAATAGGGAGAAAAAACAAATGCATAGCAGCCAAGTTAAAATATAGACCTGAACTTACTGAGTCTACATTTCTTTAAATATATATTGTTTCAGAAAGAAAATGCTTAATATAAATAAGGAAATAGGATATCACAACTGTAATAACACATTTTGGATGCCAATAATTTTTCCTTTTCTGATTAGTTAGGTAGAAGAGGGTGCAGAAGGAAAGAAGGATTAACTTTTCAAGCTGCCTCCTTCCTGTCTGAGGGAATGTCATTGAGCTTTGATGAGTGCCTTCCTTTAGTGGGGGCAGGCGTCTCTAATTATAGCAGCAGCGACCTCTTAACGTAAGTACACTCATGGAGGATGAGGGTCAGCCCTGCTTTAGGTTCCAAATAGGCAAATAATGGAAAAACAAGAAAAGAGCAAATTTAGGATAAAAGAAAAGGAGGGGAGAAAAAATAGGAAAGAACAAAAACAAAGGAAATAAGTAAGTCCATATGATGAGGGGTATGCACAAATGTATGTACATATTTGTTAATATTTAGCCTCATTCTAAAAAAGTTACCTTGTTTGCATTTGTCATTGCCTCTTCCAAAAATTGTATCTTGCTCTGAAGGGCATCTATCTGACCTCTTTTAGCTGTGATTTGCTTTTGCATCCCCATTGCCACTTTCATAGCTGGAAAAAAAGGAAGCAAACTGTGCCTTAGTTTTTAAAGTTTCCAAATTTTGAAAGGTGACTATAATATGATGGTCAAACATTATGAGAAAGTGACAAGTGAGATTCCGCCAAGGCACCTGGCCAGTTTCAAGGAAGTGTTCATTAAAACGGCCTTCAAAACTTTTGGTCAACTCAT